AATCGATATGTTTCATTCGTCCAGCGAGTTTTGCTTACGCCAAACTTTTCCGGATTTCGTCGATTCCAGCGACTCGCTATTCCCATCAGACGATGAAATGCTTGCAGGCAAATTGAGACAAACTATAAAATATTCATCTCTGTGGTTGTGGTGTAATTCTAAAAGACGTTTTTGTAGCGACTTAAAAATATTCGTGGTTTAAAATCACATTTAATTAATCGGATTCTGACAACGAGAAAAAGTTTAAGTACTTAAGCGTATTATTTCGTCTTTTCCTGCACTTACACGTTTATACCTTGCTGCGAAATATATTTTTTAAATAACTTTCTAGAAAAAGTTGTCTCTGTCTGAATGTAATTATTATGCCTTTGGTAAATCGTGAAATTTCGCAAGTTTATAATCTTGGCAGTAAAAGGCATTGTGTGACGCGCATTATTTGCGCGAAGATGTAGCAAACAAAGGTAATTAAAACGAAATTTGCAATTGTAATTTGCTATCGTTCGCGTTCCGATGCCTTCTCGCCGTCGAGTCGTTGTCGTAGCTCATCTCGTTGCGCGCATTATACATTACTTGCTAATATTTTCGCAGTGTGCGCAAAACAACAAATGAAACTCCTTCTTTTATACAGTTTTGTCGGGCGGGCGTCTGGCTTCGTCAGCTCTGCGTAGTAATCGCATTTAAATCAAACGATGCAAACAGAACATTGCGCAAGCATTTGAAGCCTGTCGAATAGAAATGATAATCAAAAGTTTAGACAAAAACATTTATAGACGTACAAAATGTTATGTAAACTGCCAATGTACTATCAATGATTTAAAATAGAGTTTACTTTACGATAAATATAGTTAACTAGCTTTGTCTTCAATTTGAGAAGCGTTGTATTTCCGTCTTATTGTGCATCGAATGGAAGTTGGTCGTTGTTGTTGTATTGCATCACCGATGCATTGTTAAGAAGCAACGGCGGTATCTTATCGCGTCCCTTATAAATTACGCTCGCTTCCATAATTCAACTCGAGACGCTGCCGATATGCAGTTAATAAAACTCACCATTGTAGTATTTGTCATTAATGCTGAGAATTTATCTAATTAAATATATTGTGTAAAATAATTAAATTTTAATTTAATGTGAAAATAAGCAATATTCATTCAGACGGTAGTAATTTATTAAAAGTATTCGGTGTCGATGCACTCGTAAACGCCACACACAATGCCCCCTCAGTTACCCTAGGACCAGAATCAACATGGCCGCCACTGTGCGACTATGGCGGATGCAGGCATAGAATGTGCGCCGGGTATGCGCACATAACGAAAATTGCAAAACCCCCAATTTCGTTACAGCCAGCTCCACTAGCACCCTTTTTCCGCCATCGAATAACCCGCGTCCTTTCATACGGAAGGACCTGCAGCGTGCTCTGCAAGCAGCACATATTTGTACCACATATACAAGTGCTGTGATGCCGGAAGTACATTGCTGCGATGCGTTGGTTGGGCATACATTGATGCAGCTTGCACGACATCAGAGAAGACCAGCAGAAGCATCTGCATTCGCTGTAAAAGCTTCGACTTTTTATTATGCCAATGGACTAGGAAAGCATTACCAGAGAGCCATTTACAACATTTACTTGTGTTTGACATACATTTTTATAGATGGAAGTATAAATCATTGAAACGAATTTATTGACATCTGCCTGTAGTTTCAACTAATACGAATGTGCCCCAATGCACCTGTGCAATGTAATCAAACACTTCATTTTGTACAAATCGCCGCTACAAAGTGAAATATATTGCCATGAAATGCATTCATCAATATTGCTCGTGAACGGTTTAACATAAGTTAATAAGTATTTCAATGAAATTGTGCTTTTCAGTTCGCAATAAGTTCGGAGGATTTAATATGGGTTTAACAATGTTCAATATTAAATTCCACGATTGGCAAATGGCAATAAACAAGTATTCATTCATCAAATTTCAATTTGCGCAAATATATCGGAATTATGTACTCTGAAGTTTAAATTATTTTCGTTTTTTGTTATATCTAATATCATCATTAATCTTTAGATGTTCATATTTTAAGAGGGAAAATATTTTTCATAACATTTAGAGCTTTTAAAGATAACTTGTAGGAACTCATAGAAATGAAACGACGAATGTGAAATACTTCTAACGTTCACTTTGCAAGTTTACATTAAGATATTTACTTTTATATATAAAATGCAAAGATTAGTTAGATGCGCATAAAATTCAATCATAAAATTTTTGACGTGATAACGTCTTTAAAATCGTTTTATTGGGTTACTGTTCAGACACTGTGTCACGAGCGAGGTCGATCGCAGGTATACCCCCCTCTCGTTATAACGAGAGAGAGACGGACCGATCTCCCGTCTCATCTCGAGCGCTGCCAGTCATTCCGTGCCAGTCATAGCGTTCGAGTGAGTTGACCGATCTTCCGTCTCTCTCACTCTGGCGGCATACAAACGAATGGAGATTTTCTCGTGCGGTTAAGTTTACGTTGAATGTTTTATCGGCCGATAAAAAGTTTGTAGTGTGCGGGGAGCCTAACAGTGAAACAAAATGTGAAGTGCAAGTGAAGTGTTACAACAATTGCAACAAAAAAAACTTATATCACCAATAAGACGTTATCACGTAAACATCTCGATCGTAAACCTACTTTACAAACAACCATTTTTTTTAAATTGTCATATTCCTACAAATGGCCAATTTTAAAATTTATTTCAGATTATCTTTATTATTTGTTAAAATAAATTATTTGAAATAATTTCTGCGCATTGAAGAAAGTTTTAATAATAGTACAAAACAAAAGGCCAAAATGCTTTTAAACTTAAAATTAAATCATGCTCCTCCACACTTGACCAAAAGTGTTAAAGAGATTATTATAGAAATTATTCTACAGGTATGTATGTGTATGGCCCAGTAACGTGTTTATTTAATCCATGTAAACGTAATGCAGGTGGCTTCCGAAACGGTTGGTAATATTGGCGGAAACAAAGCTTGTGGCTATTTTGCTAGTGTGGAGGCCGAAGCCTCTGCAAACAAAACGTAAATAATAAAAGACCGTTACTGCAGGATTAGCATTAGATATTTTTCGCATTGTGTTACACAAAACTTCATTTTACATTTTCCGGCATTTCGGTAAGCTTTTCTAGTCTTTTTGGCGCAAAGACCTCAACATCGAAATTGTACCTGTATACTGAATGTATACACATCGGTATACATACGGAAGGTAGAAATATGAGAACATACAGGGCGTTTATTAAAAAAAAGAATATTACCGGGAAATTTTTATTGATAAACTGTATTTTTGACTTTTATATAAGCGTATCGCGAGTTGCATTCGGGCATCCAGAAACAACAAGCTCGAGCGAATGAAATTCGGTACGTGGCGTGAATGCGTAACTGGCAAGCGAACATAATGCGCGTTGTGAACTCGCCGCCAATTGGAAGCAAGTCAAAAGAAGCGTCCGCATAAAATTCGGCCGCGCTGCCACGATAAGCCACAGATAAGAACGCAAACACGATGAGTAATTCGTGCGAATTTAGCGTTTGCCGAATCAAGCTTTGATCATCTTTGAACACGCCAAACAACGCATATTTTCATCAATCTACGAAAAATTACTAGCGTAGTGTAACGGAGCATTCAGAAGAAAAATATTTACGTACAAAAATTCCGATACGCGAAACGCATCAAAAACATAGCCGGATAGTCGTCGACGAATTTAATTTGAAGCGGGCCACAAGAAAAAACAGAAAATATGCAAATATGAAAAAAGTCCTGCATTACATAATAAATGCACATTTTTTAAATCCATGAATAATAAGCGGTGTACGTTTACCTTGCGTTACGCTGTCTCTTCATCCCTTGCGGTGTGTTTACGCCGTGCAAAATAATATACCATTTATTTTCAAAACACATTCTCGCATTAAATAAATTTATTGTGTGGGCGAGGCATGTTTCAGTCGCAGTGTTATTGTCGTTTATTCGTGTTTTGAATCTGTGGGGCTTTTGAATTGTAATTTTTGCTCTTTGTTCTAATAATGAAAAAAGGAATAATAATACTTCCAAACAATAACAATTTGCAGCAATTTATTTACTCACTGAATACGTTAATGCGAAATTTAACACAACACGAATTGAAATGGTTACGATTCGAAAAAATACAGCACAAATTAAACGAAAACAATAAGAATGCTATGCAAACAATATTATTTAAGTTTAACCGCATGGTAAACATGTTTTTCGGGACGCAAATGCAAGGAAAACAACTCACAACACATACCGAACGGGAAGTTTAATCATAAAACTTGCGATTTCTTTTCGCGGACGATCGAAATGTGCACAACTTTGCAAATTAATTGTTTCCTACAACTAAGTAATAATCCCGCGCCGTAAAAGTTTAAAAAGCGAATTAAAAAGTGACCTCAATTTAAAACGTTTCGAGTGCCCTTTTTCCGCCGACTTAAACTTTTAACTTCAACCTGGTTTCACATCGATGAAAACGGCACAAAGCGACGCCGGACAAAAACCGATTGAAACAAGGAGCTGGGACGAATTTAATTTTCATTGTTGCCGAAATGCTTGGCGGGCCTGGACTCACACTCGGACACTCCAAAAACCCAAATCAACATCGCTGACTGAGGATGAAGTTTTGTTAACGCAACTGTATGTGTCTGTGAGTGTGCTGCAAACGGAAAAAGTTGATGCCAATGGGAATTTAATATCACCCACTTTTATCTTCGCAGAGCGACGACAACTATTGTTTGTCTTGCCAAGGTGCAGAAATTACAAAAGTTGCTATTGCAGCGTCGTAAAAACGAGACTTTAAAGTAATAATCAAAGCTTGGATGTTTTGAACGAGTGAATATTGAAAAGATGCTCGTAGTAAATTAAAAATTAAAGGCTTGAGGAGTAGCGCATGCGTGTTGGGTGCCGGCGAAGAGATAGCGAGGCGGCGCGGCGGCGGGTTTTGCGTGCGTCGTGCGCGTGCTTTCATTCGTACGCGATACAGCGACGACGCCGGCACGAGCGTCGCGACGCGCATCTTCAACCGACCTACAACGCGTAATAATAACCATTTAAAAACTGTTCACCAAAAATCTTGAGAATACAAAACAATTGTGACTTATGGAAAAGTTATGAACAACAAACACTCCAGTGGTTCGTATGTATCGAATAGCGCTCAGTGACAGCTGAAAAGTGTAACCGTTTTTCGAATGTAGTCGCTAGTGACAAACTCTAGTTCGTTGTGACGAAGGCAACACACATCTACACTACGAGTGCCAAGCTGCAAACTTCAGAAAAATGAAAACTTTAAATCGACTACTTCTGCTTCTCTTCTCGACATTTCTTAGAGGTAAGAAACACAATATAACTTCCGATTCGTGTTCAATTTCTAACAATGGAAACTTAACAACACACTAACAACCCCACCGACTAGCATAACTTTAGTTTCGTTTTTTTGTTTTTGTTTTCGAAGCACTACGTCGTCATTGTAAAGCGATCTCACTGACAGCGCGTCGCAGTTTTGATGCTGGTTCTAAATATTTATTTTTAAGTGGTAACTGATAGCTTTCCTCGGCTGTCATCGTGCCATGTCTGTCCTCGTTGGTGTTGGTAGTACGACTTTCAACATCACGCACATAACCGCGGCTGTGTTCTGTTTTTACATTCCTTGTGTTCGGTCCAAGTGGGGATTTCGTTTTATGTTGTTTTACGTAAAATAAAACGTGGAGATTGCTTTTCTAGGTGTTCTCGGAAAAATTTTATGCTCGGTTTAGCTCGAGCTTGGATGTGAATGTAGCTTGCGTGCACGCGCAACAAATGAAGTGCATCGATGCAACACAAAACGCGTTTTTGACGTGATCCCAAAGGAACCGGCCGCGAACAGTTGAAGCGTCAGTTGAAATGTGTATATTTAGGAGATATTACCCAGCGATGCTAATGCGAAAGTGTATTCCCTCGACATTTGTCGCCTCGGAAAGCGTACATGTGCTTCAGATATAAATTACTTAGGAAACCCCTGATATGTTATTAAAATCCATGCTGTTGTTTTTCAATTATCATATAAACTTACTTCATTTGTGTTAAACATATTTGTGAAATTTTAATAGAACGTCATTAAAAGATAAGCAATTTTAAAAAATAATTTAAACTAATGGATGAACAATAAACAAAACAAAACTTACATGCATATTTGAGTAAACTTGGAAAGCACTCAGCCATAAACTTATGCAAAACCTGAAAACAAAAAAATCAGGATATAAATATGATAGATACATGTAATAAATTTATAATATTTTTTAAAAGCATGATTTTACAACTTTCAAATAATAAATGTTTACATCACAACGCGCATTTTCAATATTTAGTATAAATATAAGAAACAGGCCATTCGCTTATTTAAGCCCATAGTATTTAAAATATGAAAACGAGAGGTTTGCTTGAAGATGCATCGTGTTTCATCGCGTGGAGAAAACATCGCAATAACGAAACATAATTGCCGGTAACGAACACCTTGGCGTTTTACGAGGGTGCTTTAACGATGACAACCTGCAATATTTGAACGCGCCGATGATATACGCCCGTCTATGAAATGCGCCCGTAAATGCAAACCGTCGCATACAGATGCAAGATGCAAATAAATAGTGCCACGGTACTTAAAGTAACTCGTATATTAATTATGCACCAGTAATAATACTCAAAACATAATATATTACAGATATCAAGCTACTATTGGACATGGTATAAAATACAACCACAGCTTAGGCTTTGCTATCTCGGTCGTTACTTATTATTTATTATTTATTTTTTCAATTTTCTTTCTTATCCTCTAGTTTCCCACCGATATATCGAAGGTCTCGCCGGGGCCTGACTACACATGTAGCTCGATAATCTTGTTGTTTTATATGTTTTATTACATTGTACGCAGAGACGCAGGGGCAAACCGAACGACACTTTTCCCGTCAAGCTAAACATGTCCTTGTACGTGGTTGCCATTTTTTTTGCTCCTGTGTTCCCGACCAGCTTGTGACGCGCGTTTTTTTCTTCTTTATCATGAACGTAAAAAGAATACGAACGACACCATAAGAAGAATATCTGGGATACAAGCAAGAAAGTGCCACTGGTGGTGTCGGTGAGCATGTGGCGGGCATAGTCGGGATTCGACAGTAAAAAAATGAGTTCTGGGATCACGCGGGTGTAAAATTACGTACTCGATCCGCGTGCTCGCAGATTAAATCTTTATAACCTTCATAAATACCCACCACTTATATATCTAGGTCTTGGGTGGTGGTGTATGAGTGGACGACAAGAGAAAACCTAACAAGAAATGCCCTTTCCTTACACGGTCCTTCATATCCCACTTCACTGCGGTATTATCAACAGTAAACACTAACAGTATAAAGCGGAGTGAAGCGCGATTTATTTTCTTGATGCGGGACAAGTTCAGGCCGGGTAAGGACTTGTCGTACAATGTAATAAATTCGAACGTATGTGAAGCATTAAAGGGTAATAAATAATAATCGCTGACATTCCCGCGAGCCGTCACGTTTGCCGCGACGGACATTCGAACAACCCCCGACGACATTAAATATGCAAGGATATTTGCTGTTTATTAAAGTTCTCTTGTGATAATTCATACGCGCGCTACGTGACGCTACATAATATATTCGACAATGTCCACGGATACATTTTGGTATATACAGAGTGTTTTTATGGATGCCAATGTCGTTTTAATGAAAATACTCATTTGCATTAGTTGTGCGACCGTAAAAGCGAAAATGGAGCGGCCGATAAAAGCCGTGCTATAAAAAAACCAAAACGAAAACGCAAAACGGCAAAAAAAAACGCACGATTGGAAAAACTAGCAAAACTCTAGCCGTTGTAGACGGCGCGATGCTCGCCCCGCTTCCTGTTGGTACGCGCTTAATCCTATGCCTTGATAGAAGAACATAAATCGCGCGACTTCGATTCGGAATTTGCGCGGAAAGAGCGCGCGCGCTAGTCGACTTTATGACTTTTTCGATAAACGCTTCAGCCGCTTACTCGTCGCGCGCTCGCATTGGAATACTATCCAATACTCAGGATCCTTCCGAACCCGACAGTTTCCAAAACCTTATTGATCGTACATTTCAGCAGTACATACACTTTTTTCTGCACACTAAAGCAAACGGTGGATATGCTTGGAACGTCATTCTGCAAATTTTTCGGTGTCATCGTTTTGAAAATTCCGCCAAACCTAAAATTTCGACTACAAGTGAATGGTGCGGATTGAAACCGATTCTCAAATCTGACATTTTGTGAATCTGGTGCAATTGAATCCATGATGCGTGTGTGTACGTGCGAGAAGGAAAGCTTTCCGATAATACCACAATTAAAACTATTTCACGTCTGGGCGAACTTTAAATAGAAGCGCTCCACACTCGGTAACATGTCTTCGACTATCGCTCGGCGCAGAGCTTGCTTCGGAATTGGTTACCTTGCGATCATCCGCATGTGTGGAAACGAGTTTCAATCGCATTGAATGCAGAAGCAAAAGCTCAGCGCACAAAGCCCAAGTCAAGCGAAACAATTTCGAAATTTGAAGCGATTAACGACAGTTTGTTGCCTCGAGCGTCTCAATTCGAAAACAAATGTTAGTTTACTTATACTCAGAACTATCTTTGTGTATCTCGTAACAAATAGCAAGAAAACTTGTGCAAGTGTCACGTACAACTAGGACGTGGGCTAGGAAGATATTTTAATTGTTCGAATTTACATTCTTTCGACCCGAAAAGTCGACCAGAAACTTATAACTAATGGTAACTTACAAGCAAGCTAGTAAAGTAACTAAGCGTCACTTCAAGATGGCGCATAAAATTAGACTTTAAGGCGTTCATTAATTATCTTGCGACACGAGCTTAACTATTCTAATTTAAGTAAGAACTAGTTGATTTTATTGCCCGCTGGAAACTTTTTCGACATTTTTTTAATCAACCAAATGCCTTTTATTCCATTTGAAACATCTGTATCATATGAATTAACAAAATTGAACAAAAAAAAAACGAGGTATATCTGCCTTTTGTGTGAATCGCTATAAACCAACAAAATAGTAGACAATTGTATGGCAGTTTCAATTTTTAAACCGTCGTTTTAATACTTTTGTGTTGTATAACTTGCACAATGCATGCACGTGGTTTGTTTGTACTAATCCAATTAACCCAAGCGAAATTTTTCATCAACATCGACATTGCACCAGCAATTTGTTATGAAATAATTTTTAACTCACGTGCTCCGCCGTCCCAGTTTTTTGTTAATTAATTTACATCATCCGCTGCTGTTGCGTGGACGGGCAACACAATGTATTTATAGAATACTCGTACAATATTCAAATCGAAATTGTTGTTGGCTGATTTTTGGTAAAACTGATGATATTAATAATAAATCATGTTGGAGTGTAATTAATTTCCATAGAGTCATTGAGGTATTATGCTATGTATCGCGCGCGAACAACGCACAAAGAGTTTTCTAAAATAAAATTGTAAAAAATTAAACAAAAAATCTTTCGTAGAGAAATTACAATGATTGAATCATTATTGCATAAAATACCGCTATGTGGTCCGTGAAAACTACTTCCCATAAATTTAAATTGATGTTTAAAATATTTTTGTTGCACGAGTTAGTCAGTTAAATGCGACCACAAAATAAGAGCAATAAAAGCGGATTTATTCATGTTGGACAATTGCAATAACGCTAATAATCGACCGATAATGCTCGTAAAAGCGTAAATGTCGTTTCACCCATTGCACGCCACGTGACCCCCACGTATCAGATGCGGTAATGACTTCACGATAATAATTTCCCAATTTGTTTTGCTCGCTTTCACGATCGCATCATATTATTACAAATTCCATAAAATCCAAGTTATGTGCAATATTCCGACTAGTACCGGCTGCATTTACCCCAGAGCACAACGTATCAATAAAATATACAGAGTGTACACATAAAATTCAAAACAAAATTAATATGTAACTTGTTTTGAATAAAATTTATAAGTCTAACATTTTAAAATGCGTGAATGTAAAATTTATATTTTAACATGACAAAATATTCGCGTATCTCTTTTTGTTTTGGAAACACGTTCTTTGTGCTCAGTGGTTTTCCGTGCATGTATGATACATAACCCTACAGGCAATGATTTTGACAACGCTGGCAAGGTTTCTTCCTAGAGGAAACTTGAGATTAAAAAAAATACCACAAAATTATTAACTATAAAATATCACCGTGGGTAATCCAACATACATGTGTACCACACTCAAGATTTGCCACTTTGCAGCGCCTGGAGTATAAACAATAGTTCCAGGAGGAAGAAGAGGTTGTGGTGGCGGCGGAGGCTGTTAGGTAGTATGCGATAGATGGATGACTGCCGCATGCGGGCGACGACGCGTCCGTCCTCCCTTGAGCGCGCCCGATTGTTGCAGCACGCTGTGAGGGAAATGGGAAACGGGGTTAAACATATTCCGCCATTAAATTATCCTGTCAAGTCGAATGCATGAATTTAATTTGATTTCTATTAATTTACTACGCATCGCTGCGACAGCCGCTGTTGCCGCTGAAATGGAACAATATTTTGTTCATTTGACGCCGTGTTGACCCAAACTTCACTTGATGCGATGCGACATGTATTGATGTGTGAGTTTGTACTTCACTTTCAATTTTCCCGCACAAATGAAAAACGAAGCAAGTAAAACAAGCAAAAAAAAGTCCCTGCTGCAATTTGGCACCGGCCGGGGTCGAAAATTAATGACGCCCCTAAAATAACTCTCACAAATTTCGTTTTTTTTTCTTGCTACAAATTTGTCGGTTTCTTTCATTTCCCGCCGCGCCTAGATGCCCAGCGGTCTTGAAGGCGGAAATAAACTGCGACTTAAAGTCGCCTAAAAGGGGTAATTTTTAAGGGTTTTCCGGGCATTAAAAATATTTCCACGCAGGCCATTTTAATCGACCCTCACACAGTGTTGACCTTTTGCAAGCGTTACGCAAACTTTCCACTTCTTGGAAAATGTTTAACTCATCTGCGCTGCTGATTAAGGACGCAATAAGCAGTAACGACAAAAATTCGTGAAACGACGACATTTTCCACGGACATCCATCGACGAAAAGTAAAGTAAAGCAATGTAAACTTTTTGCTGTGATGAAAGCGGGTTGGGCGAATAATAAAAAAAAGCGCGCGAAGAGAAAAAAAGAGTGCGAGCGCTGAAAGCGGAAAGTTTTTTTGAGTTAGTGCCGTATATCTATGGATGAAATTGTTGCCCATCGCTGGGGATGAGTTGGATGTATAGAGATGTAAGTTCTTGGTCGTTTTGTGTTCGCTCGACGACCTTAAAACTCCGGATGGAAAGTTAAAGCTAAAAGCGTGCCGAGTGGGTAGCTAGGACGATGAGTTATTAAGAAATTATCGAGACCGGGGCCGAGTTTATATCTGGTTATTCGAGCGTTTCGCTTTTTTAAGTCCTCTTACGGAACCGACGAAGCTCGAGGACTAGCAGCCGGCACGCGGCGTTGTCGCCGGGAAAGATTCAGCTTTGAGCCGGATTAATTTTCCGCTTCTGATAAATCTTTCCTTTTTGGGCTCAACTTCAGCATCTTTCTAGACGAACGAGTTTCTATACTTGGACCGCAAAATCAATAAAATCAATACTTTAATCAAAATCAAAAATTGCTTTGATTCATAAAACAAAAAAAAATGAACAGATTCATCTCATTTCCGTATAACGTCGAAAGTTCACAGCAACAAAGAACGATACGCTAATGACGAAGAAAATTCAAATCATCGCCTTCCAGACACACTATTTATAATTTTATGCGCCTCCAGCGACTCGCGCTGCAAAACTTTTCACATTAAATTATATTCGGAAATTTTCTCGACGATCCATCACTGGTTCTTCTGGTGGTTTACGCGCAGCTCGCATAACATAAAATCTTTAACGCTTTAATTTCACGAGCACTGAGGCACACACATCAGGATTTGAGGAATTGTTCAAAAATCCAAGGAAAACATAAAAGTTGAGAATGTGCCGTGCCGCGGCACCCAACAATGTTGGCTTAGAAGGGTGCACGAAGCGGATTTTAAAGAGCGCCAAAAGGCTTTGCGTGAAAAATATAAACGTGAGTGTAGTTTCGCGCGACGAGACGTCTCGACGAGTAATCAAAATGCGATCGATCACACGCTGCTTGACAGCTTGCCAGATTTGGATTTCTCCCAAGGCTGCAAAAGTCTGCCACAACCCTCAAACTTGCCTGTGTGCATTCATTCAATGTTGCCAAATATAAGAAAAAAAATATTACAAAACTGTTACATTTAAAAAAATAAACATTTTTAAGTTGTGTAGAAGATTAATCGATGTTAACAAAACAATGATGATAAAATTGTTGTGCCTTTGTTTTTAGTGACACATTCTAACCCTCTTTCTTTTCTTCATGTATCTTGAACACAACCGACACAAAATTACAAACATGTGAAGGAAAAATCTAAACTTACAATGCGGAACTCTTCGCATAAGATTTCGTGCCGCTACGTGACGCAACGTGGCTAACGACACGTATTCCGGCACCCTCTACCTGCTGGTGATGCTTGTGGAGAATGGAAAGAGGTTACAAGTTCGCATTCCGCGCGACGCCGCTGTTTTTGTTCGGCCCGGCGACGAATGTTTCACCTCGTGAGCGCCCCGAGGTCCAGCGCGGCATAACAAAGCAACTACTTATCTCGTCCTTCGAGTCCTTCGACCCTATCGCCACGCGGCACGCCTACTCTGCCCATTGTTTATGTCGTATTCACCTTTTTTCTTGCAAACGTAGTGGCAATGCAAGGAAACAAACAGGAAGTTACTGATTGTTGTGAGTCATTCTACACATCTATAGGCAACCAACAGTGCAAAGTGTTACACAGCACTTTACTAGTCAGCTATTAAAATGTCTGTTTTTCTAGATTTTCTAAAAAAACATTTAACCGTTTTTGTTGAATAACAAAATACGAAACGTTCTGATTCCAACCGTTAACCGTTATCTACCATCTTTCTTTTTCTATCTGTGTGGGGAAAGTATAAATAGAAGGTCGGGAGTATTGTCTACATGCCGGCGCCATTTGGTGTGGAACGTTTCCTCTCGCCGCGCATACATTTGTTTACGCTGTGTCACTTCCGCAAAGCTCGCGTGCGCTATTCCGGTCTTAGTGCAGAATCAGAAAAAAATGCCGCACTTTTTTTTTGTAAGCCCAGAAAAACCTTTCGGCTTAAATTTAACATTTTGAAAACTTGTTTAACGGTATTTTTAATCATCGACACATAAAACTGCAAAAAGGTAACAAGTAACCGGATGTTACGTTTAATTGAAAAATATTTTTAAAAATTGCAACCCACGCGCCGTTTTTCATTCTCTCGTGCATTCAGTGCGCAGAGGCTTATTGTTTAACGTTTTTGTGGGTGCGTGCGTAACAAAAATTATCCGATACTGCGTTTCCCAATATTCCATTTTTTCTTTTGCTTGCTTTCAACGCAAGCCCCCAAAATTTGTTCCTATCTCGTTTTCTCATGCTTCTATTCTCTTGGTAATATTATGACTTTTGCTGCCTTTGACGTTTTTTTTTTCTTTTAGGCACGACCGCGCGTGCCTTTCCCGTCACCTTATTTTTATTTATGCTTTCATCGATGAGTGGCATTCAAGCGTGAAACGCGCAAAATTTCTATATTATAATGTACAATTTTGTTTCAGATGTTTATTGCTTAAAGAACGTCACGCTAACGATAGATCCCAAAGTGGTGAAACGACATCAACACTCGATACTGCGCTGCGAATACGACCTGGAAAACGCGCCATTATATTCGGTGAAGTGGTATCGAGGGAGGCACGAGTTCTACAGGTACACGCCAACAGATGTGCCACATATGAAAATTTTCCCTCTTGCCGGCATCACCGTGAATGTAAGCATATTTATATCATGTAATAATATAATATTAAAAATGTGTATATATTATTAATAATAATATATGCGCATGCTTTTCGTGTGTCTCTGTGAGATGGTGTATTAGGTAAACTAGGAATAATTAAGCACGCAATTCCCGTACGACGCTGAGATAATATGCATAAATAATTTCGGAGTTCATAAACCTCATGCAGCTCGATGGGGTAGGCTGGAGGCAGACATGCACGCGACATGCGAAGAAATGCGGTCGTTCTTCCTCGGCGACGCGTCGCCCAGGCAACGCAACATCGGATGAATGTTATCGAACATATCTTGTTCCGCATAAATAAGCATTACGTGCGCGCATATTTTACGTGTTCATCACCGAGGGTTTCACATTATGATATATGCGGCGTACAGTCGAGTGATATACTACTCTTGTTAAACGTATTAAATATGTCGAAAGCAGCATTATGTATAGCGAATTAAGTTCATGACATTTTACTGACGTGCAGCATCTCCATCGCTGGCTGGCGTACCTGCGTCATTATATATTCGATTTTTTATTGCGCCATTATCAAATGTAACGGCGGTGAATTTTCCGACAGCTCATTTCCCATTGCATATTGATTAGCTTATAACAGGAGCACCTTTTCAAAACATCATCGCATCATGCAAAGTTCGAACGTGTTTGATTACACGTGAAAATGTTTAAAGAGCAGGCGGAGCGTGACGCGGTAAATTGATTTTAAATACCTGGATGAGCAATATTTAATGGCTTGGACAATTTAATTAAAACCTAGTGTAACGCAGCCTGATCCGCATCTCGTTCGACAGAATGTATTGAGATTTTAATCAGGTTAATTTTTCGAAATTAATCAAGGCATTTATTGCATTCCATTAAAATTTTAATGTGAATAAAATTAAATTATATTAAATGTTCTTCAGCCAGAAGCACGGATAATATATTCACAATTCATGAAATCGAGTGAATTGTTGCAAACGCGTAAACTTTTGCGTACGCTCCGCACGTTCTAAATTCAGCCATTGCTGTATTATTTGCAACGTCTTAGTATTCACAGCATTTACGACACAGGACGCGTTGTTGGCTAATGTTTGTTGTTTTCCGTTTTCTCTCTATTTCCCTGTTTTGCCTATTACAACACGAGAGCGACTCCGCATCTTGTTAAAGTCGATGAGAGTTCACTTTAAAACAAGTTACACGCGGGTGTAAGTGGAAACGCGAACTACTTGTTCATAAACACAAACAAAACGCGTCGAAATACAATTATAAACGTCCTGTATAAATTTACAAGATTATTTCTTAGTTTTAGATACGCAGACTTAAGTAAAGTTTTCGAATAAGACAATTTAACATTAATTTATTTTCACAATTGAATTTAGCTACGAATGGTTTTTGTAATGTTTAGTTTTTGAATTTGGTGATGTATGGCTACTGCAGTGAAAACAATTGAAAGTTAAATTGCCTTTCGAGTCGCTTTTCTCGTTGTAGCACATGAAAATATTGAAAGCCATAGCATGGGCACAATTGTTTTGCCGCGAGCTCGGTTTTCCATAAATTCAGTGGCAGTTCGGCGGGAGGTGAATCCATGCGTGGTCCGCGTCGATTTCGATGCCATCGCAATTGAACCTTTTTACCTTTTTCGCATTGCACAGCGCACCAACGCGTTTGTCATGTCGAATAGTTTTTCCATAGCGGTTGAAAATTTTCAGCCGACAAACTTCTGTTGCGCTTTTTGTGAGTTTTCAATATTTTGTGCAAGTACTTGTTATTTATGCATAGTTATATATAAACAATGTTTTATTCATTAGTTTAATAATAAATATTTTTTACTATTTTTGTTACCAAGTGCGCAGAGTGTAAATACTTCTTCATTTGCGCTTCGCGTACTACTTCCGGTTTTGCAGACGTGCAGCATAGTCCGTCTGCCAGAATGAATTTTAGTTGCGAGTCGAATATAATTCGCCTTGGCAATTGGCGAAATATTTCACTTTAAATGTGCATCTCCATTTGCGCTCCTTCTGCGCATTTGCAGCGTCTTCCTGATATTTTAATATACAGCCACGTTACACCTCGAGCTCTCCTCCATGCAATCTTCGCGACCAATCCGCCGCAATTCAGGAAATTGCATTCGCAATATTGAAGTTGCTTTGTTACTTTTACAGCGTGAATATATATTTTATTGAATTGCGTAAATTTCTAACCTTACTTAGACGTTTTATATCAAATATATTTTGATTGTTTCTTTTCGATCGCAAACAAAAGTTTGCTCTGCAGTTGTGAATTGTTTATGAGTCGAAGTTACGAACTGCGAATCAATCGCTTGCCCATCGGGAACTAGTTCGTCGTGTAATTCGAAAGTTTGCGGAAACAGAATGTTCCGTTTTCGCCACAGCCATGGGCAGTATGTAACGCTCTTTTGTCCGGATTGTTTCAGCTACACAGTTCGAACAGTACGCAAGTGCTGCTGGAGAACATCGAGTTCAATCTGTCCGGAAACTTCAGTTGTGAGGTGACCACCGACACCGAGCCCATACTATCGACCGCCATGGACACGCAGGTCATGCTCGTTGTGCGTAAGTATAAAAATTATTTATGATTTTATTCTCTCAAAGTTTAGAGTAATTTAGCGGACCATTATCAGAGTTGGGAGTTGTGAGTTTGGTTCATTTTGAAAGTTGCTTCCCGACAGTTCGAGTGTGTGGCATCCGAATCAAATTTAACTTATTCTTAATTACTCATAATTCCACTCTCGTTGTTTGGACATATTCCCGCGGCCCTTGAGCGTAATTAACTTACATCCGCATTATGACCGTTTCCGGCCGGTGCAGATTGAACTGGCAGTGGTGCAAAACGCAAATTAACCGAAATTATTGTTCAACTCGAGGAAACTTTAACTTTACGCCGATGCATTTCGAAAGCCCCGACAATTGTTTGGTCGTCGTCGCGCGTCGTTAGAAGCTGTGTGGAAGTTGAAAGCCACATAGCAGCGATTCATGTCCACTTTTAGGAGCGCGCTCATCGCGGGTTATCGCGGGCGTTATAGTGCGGGCTGGATGCGAAAACAATAGACGCGCGCACGTGCATTAGATGAGCGGTTGAAAGGACGAGATAATTTCCTAGTTTCCACAGGTTTCTTTTGTCTCTTGTCTGTGCTGTAACGTACAGTTCGACACCGCACTCATTGAGGTTATGAAGCACAGAACTAAATTACGAATGAACGAAACTTTCAGCTAATTGAAAATTAACTCAATATTTTATTATGAAATTTATTTCAGTAACAAATTATTATTTTAAGCGCATTATTACACGTATTATTTACTTATTACAAAGTTTGTTCTTTGTGTTTTATTATACTTGCGCCTTCAGTGATGAAGTAATCCCACTTTTCTTAATATATCTTAATACCTTCCGTGCTTCCGTTTGCGTAGCATTTTATTATTTTCTCCACAAGAAGCGAAACAAAAAGCATTTCGCGACTTTATATTCATTTCATTTTTTACGTGCGCCCGAGCTTTTAATCCTTTTTAAAAATCAAGGTAATTTCAAGGCAGGGGTTGTTAAAGGCGAGGCATCACTCGCCAACATAACCGACGCCGCCGTCGCCGCCTCTTTGGCGTGTCGCACCCGCCAGCACAAAAGCTGTCTCCAGCAATAAATTACAAACATTAAATTCCGCTTTATCTGAATGTCGAGAGGGAGTTTTTCCCACGCCGCCCGCGCGCGGTAATGGCGCACGGCGTTTTTTTAGCTTTTATGTCGACGCGAAAGAAACAAAAAGTGTGCAACCCTTACGCTTCGTGTTTATTAAAGTGGAAGATTCGGGGCCGAGCACTTTGCTACAAGCGGAAAGAAACGCGACACCGTCGGATGATTGGAGTGTTGGATACGGAAAGACAAAAGCAAAAGAGGAGAAGCTGCGCCGCGGCGGTTTTATAATGCCGATGGTAAAAACTTCTTTATCTTTATCTTTTAATATTATGCCGGCGCGTCGAGACAAAATGAAAAGGTTTAATCTTAATTTAAGCACTGTGTCACAACCGCCTCGGTCTTTCTTCAGTATTTATGAGTTTATATCTTTGTATTTTGAACTCGGGAGATCCAAGTCACATAATAAAGTTTAATTTAATAATTAAATCATTAAAAATCAAATATTTTTCAAAAATTATTTACTAACTAGCTTTTACCCGCGGCTTCGCTCGCGAATATCAAAAATAATGAAGTTGCTTCCGTACGCGTCAGTAGTCACAGAAGAAATAACAATGAAGTAGAATGGCGGGAAGTTTAAAATGTCTGAAAGTATAGTCTATGGAAGTATAGTGTACAGCCTCCATAGTGTAGTCAATTGGATTTGATGTTGACGTAGCTGTCGGTAATACAGTGTGATAATACAGTGTGATGGTACTATAGTACTTAGGTTTGAGCTTCATTGCTGGAATGCTAGATGGCGTTAAAGTAGTCAAATAGCCAGATGAAGAGGTATTATTGGCTAAACAATTTCTTTATTTTATTTAAAAAATATATTTTTTTATTAAATAAAAAGTAGCCTATAACCATTCGGGAACCACTAAGAATATGTGTACAAATTTTCATGATGATCGGTTAAGTAGTTTTTGCGTAAAAGTGTAACAAACATCAAGACTTTCGCATTTATAATATTAGTAGGGATGTTGCCAGTTACAATAATATCTACTTACTAAGAACAAAATTAATCAAAATAAAAGCTTATGTTCGTGTTTGTAAGAGTAATTACTATTTTTATGCTTTGTATGAGTCATCTGCGAACAGAAAACAAAAGTGCTGCTTGCGTGACTCGAAATATATAAACACGTGTTACATAAATTACCAGATAATCAAATTAATTAGGGAAACACTACCAAATGATTGAATTTAATACGTGTGTATATTTTTAGCATTAATTGTTTATTTTATTTTGTTAATTTTAATTCGATGTAAGCAACGACTTTGATTTTCTTGATTCTTTCCTAATTGCTTCACTTAATTGCCGCCTGCTAAATTTATGCTTATCACCAACAATTAGCATTTTGTTCATCGTACCCTTCCCCACCCTCACCTTTTCTAACACCACTTCAAATCCTTTATAATCGCGCCCTTTATTCGTTCTCGATTTGTTGCTTCTTTTCTGTGCGTTGCAATAAGTGGAGATAGAGCCGAAATAAAAAATAAAATAAAATAGATTCCCAACTGTGCTGTCCTGGCTTCGGGGTTGTAGGGATGTGCCGAGTATAGCAGGACGGGGGCACATTAGATAGCGACCAGACTGCTCCACGGGGCAGTCAGTATAACAAATGTGCGCCAATGAGTGCTTAACCGTATTAAAAGCGGAAGAAGTGCTTCCACCGGCAGATAGCATGAGCGAGGTGTGAGTGGGGTGCGAAAGGGCGCGCGAAAGGGCGAAAGGAATGCCGACGAAATGGGCTTCGAATGGGTGCAATTATGGCTTTCTCATTTTCTACGTTTTTTTGCCTCTTTTTACTAGACCACCACTTGGCCGCCGGAGAATACTTGTTTATATTATTTTATACCGAGTGAAACACAAATAAAACTGCTTTTAAAGTTTTTATTTTGAACAAGACTTTCAAATTAATTATATGAGTTTATTGTGATTTTGAAAAAGTCTTTAAAAGTCGTTGATAACCATCGTAAAACAACCAGTAATACCACGCAATAAAAGCGTATAAAATCGTATAAATAAATAAATCCAGGAACAAATGGGCAAAGGCATTACAACTCGTGCTTCCGGAATGAGGCGCACCGATAAAAGTGGATTTCTATTGTTATTTCGCCGTGCGAATTCGGTTTGCGGATAGTCTCTTCCAATGTCTCGAGTTTTAAACCTGATATACTCGTGTCGTATTGAGTACACATTAGAGTGGCGAAGTGCATCCCGTGCGTTTTTTTTTCTTTCGTACTTTTGTGCTCATTTAAGCGCGTGCGCGTGCAGGAAATGCACGACAATAATGACTGCGCGACGTGTGCTACAATGCAATTGCTTCTCGCTATTAAAATTCAAGTGTTATTGGCACGTTCACAATGAGAATCAACTTGGCTACAGGTTGTCACTTAATGTGACTCTAAGTGATTTTTACACAACTTTAATAGTAGTAGTCAAATATAAACGTGCAGTAAAGAAAAGATGATTTGAGAAATGTGTTGATGTTTTCTCTTTGCAGAACTTCCCGATAATCCGCCGACGATAAGCGTCGGCCATGAACCGCTGGATATCGGCGACACGTTGCGCGCGAATTGTTCGTCGCCGCCATCACGCCCGCCCGCGATATTAAAATTCCTGCTGAACAACATAGCGGTAAGTAACTCGAAAGTCGGCCGTAACTTGTCGCTCCGATATTTAATTATTAAGCCATTTGTTTAATTAGTTTTTAGTTAATTAGGTTAATTGCGTGTCGGTTTTAAACGCGCCGCACCCTTTCCACATCCGCATGCTTAGCATATTGTCTCCGGCGTCGCCGCCGCCGCCGCTACCACTACACTCATCGGTGTTACCGCGAAAAGGACGAAAAGGACTAAGGCGAATATAATGTGGTGATGCGAAATGGCGTGTGCGCGGTGTAACTGCGGAGTGTTGATTGTCTCGTTAAAATTTTATTGGGTGATTTAAAAGCGCGATTTTTAGTGGCCTGTTGTTTGCGTCGCAATAGGAATTGTCGACAATACGCTGCCAACTTACAATAAGCAGACCTTGCGGAGGGCGTGGGCCATGAGCCATTAAAAAAATTAATGAATATTTAATACGTTCCTGAAAGCCGCTTAGAAAAGGTATTGTGTTGATTAAAGCAAGGGGAAAGCAAAAATATCCTAGGTTAATTAAAAATATTAATAGATTTATATATAATTAATTATTATTTAATTTATTATTGAAAGATCAGGAAAAATGCAATATTTTATGTAGAAAATTTAAAAATAAATAAATATAAACTACACCCCGTGACTAAAACCCGTGACTAAAGTACTTTATTCACTACCTTGGCTTGTCCGTGTTTAAAGTATCACTTTTTGTACCTCAAAACCAAACAAAAAACATATTTTTACTTCTAGGTCAAGAAAACCTCCCCAAAAGTTACCAGATCAACCTAAATTAACCTATAAATGATTAGTTGAATCGGTAATTCTATTAAACCAAAATGTCAAAGATGTCCACCCTTTAGTTGGCTGACACAAGTTAATAATTCATGATCCGTATGCAAATAAAACTATAAATCAATTATGCATTCAAATTCGAACGTGAAGGTTAGCTCTCTACGGATAAATAATTAACGATACGTTTGAATCTCTTGGATGCGACACGGGACATGCACCTCCTATCAATCCTATTTGCGAGTTTAAACTTTCAACCGCTTCTACTTTGAGCTGGTTTATGCATAACATTGACTGTCAGCCATGCGAAGCGAATGTATGTTAGAATGTACATGAAATATGTCAAGTTATTTTACCGTCAATATTACGGTATGATACTGGATAGCAATGATGGGTGGCAATAATTCATTAGTGGTCTCCTAGCCACAACCCCGATTTAGCTCAAAACTTTTGCTAGAAGAATCGCTGAACGCGCGCGCAGGTCGTAAAGTAATCCGTCGGATTAAGTTGCTTATTAATTAATTCATTTTAGTCAACACAGGTAGCCGCAATTATTAATTCTAATGCTGCGAGCGTGGTGCGGTCACGGTGAGGGTGGTGTATGGCGCGTGGTATGCTCGCCGCAACACACTCAAGGGTACAATAGCCAAGCACCCAAAGCGGCGATTATGCTATGCTACCGTCGGACAGATTTTACGACTTACCGCATTTCGAAACTGTGGATCTCGCTGGCACCTTTAACACACGATCTGAATGTATGCTCTGGAGCAGTCGGTCGTGGCGCGGATCGTGTTCCCGAGTGAAAATTGCACTTAAAAACTGATTTTACTCACACTCTTCATGTCACGGCGCTAAAGTGGTGAAGTGTCATAAAATTAAAACGTCGTAAAGTGACGATTATTCATATTATTCATCTTTTATTGAATAGGTTATGTCTCAGTAGCGCATGCGCACTAAACATAGATATGTGTTATGCAACCAAACATACACTTTACCACTTCCTATTTAAGTATATATTTTTTATCTAAAAATTTTCAAGGTTCTTGTAACTTTCTCTTTAGCATATTTTTGCTTTCTCATATTTCCCATATTTCAAACTCAGTTTGTAGGCCACGTAGACGTAGCGCCCTGGAGCACAATGGAAGCTAAGTATAGACGGTTAAACGGCTGCATAGGTACGCGTCGCATATTTCACGAACGCATCAATTTCCACCGCATGACTTTGATTGATCGAACTCGAAGCGAGCGCAGTAATGTGATACTATCAGCCAACCAAGGTTGTTACCTAAACGTCATAAACTTTGGTTACTGACATATATGCTTAATTTAACTCAAATTATGCAAAGCACTAAAATACTGAATAATTATTTCATTACAGGTGCATCGATCCGAGCCAATGACGAGACGAAAACAGAACGAGTACGAATGGAGTGACCTCATGCTGGAACTTCCCTTATCGTCGTATCACTTCAGTCAAGGTCGACTTATACTGAGTTGCGTTGCGCAAGTTACTGAGCTGTACACCGCCAATGCTACTTTAGAACTTGAGAGTGTAAGAGATCCCGTCCCAGAACGAGGTAATTTATTATAACCCAATTTTTGTTCTATTTTGTTGTAAAATGCTTTATATTAGAATGAAAACTAAAATTTTAGGTTAGATTTAACGCTGGCGTTGAACACATGTGTGTCGTTATTTGTATGGTGCTCCAACAGTTCCGAGTCACATTTTCCCAACACTGTAAAAGATAAATAGCTGGCAGCACGTTGAATTTATTATTTTCTTGTAATCGTGTGCGGATTACGAGCGGCCATATTTGTTCCCCCTGCAGATGGCGCCACATGTCTACGTGAGAATTATTTATATTACATATATGACACACACCAAACCAAAACATTGAATACAAAATAAAACCAAAATAGTTAAAACACATTGTATAAATAATGTGTCTTAGTATAAATTCGGTTTTTTTTATTAAACGAAAGATATTTGTGAAAGGCAAGGCGTCGATGACGATGACAGCAGCGGTACGCAGATTTTCCAATAAACTTTGATGAATTGGATATTTCCAAGTGCGAACGTTTTCAACAAAATTTAATAAAAGTATTTTGAGCGCGCGCCGGGAGACGGGCTGACGAGGAACGAAAATTGTCAGTTAAAAGTTTGTTTGTTATTCGGCGCGCAGCGTGAGTGGAGGCGCCGGGCGTCCAATAATCTAATGTTGACGGAATTGTCGCGTGCGAATATAAATATCCCATAATTTGTAAGCAGAGATTTAAATTTATTGCAGAACTTGTGTGCGCGCGTATAAAAATATTTCGCTTGAAAGCAACAACAAAAAAAAAGTTATTCATACATTATTCAGTTTTGATTAAAATTTGTTTCCGCTTCTGTTTACACATTGTATAGCCATCGTTAAACTAATTAAACCCGCACCTAGGTTATTAACATAGTTTTGTTGTCATTTTGCGTGTCGGTTGACTCCATCCCTTCTGCGTCATCCTGGCAATACCAAGGAAAAACACATTTGAATAATGTACGGATTAATAATACGTGTGTAAGTTTTAAAACCCCACTAGGTTTTTATGGTGTGCATGTGGTAATACCAAGCAGTTGTTTATTTCATGGATTTCATTCTTACGCACACGCCTACATCATTTTTATCTTGATCTGCATAAATATGAAACATACAGTGTGTTAGAATGCGTTAGAGGCAGGTAATAGTAAAGGGAGTGTTAACTGCATACAACGTACGTTGTACTTAGTTGTGCAAACATACTTCTGGTTTCCGGCGCGTATTATATACGTGTAGCGTTAGGAAGGACATCCTAGGATGACGGAAGGATGTGCTCACGTCGCCAACGCCCAGTGCTCACACGCACACGTAATGCGGGCGTTTACATTGCAAACACGCGATGACTAGTGAGTTAGAAAGTTCATTACATTATCTCCACAACTGGTGCATATGTGGTTAAACGATGCACATTAATATTATCCTGTTGTGTTGTGAATTTTAAGTATAATAAGATATTTAACTAGATATTTCTAATAACGTCAATATAATCCATTCGAAGTTGTTGTGATCGGCGGCTTTAATTACAAATTATTAATAATGATAGGCCGAAGCATGCATAATTAATGTGGCCGAATGCGTAGTAAACCAACTGGACAATCTGCATGCGCCGTTGACTTGAATGTAGATTACACTGTAACTGAACACGCCCGAACTAAGCAGACCACCAACATGGCGAACGCCTCTTTAGTGAATGTGCAGATAATTTGCATTAAGCATTTGTACCAACAAACACCTTAATTGCGGACGAACTAATGCGACAATCCATACGCACGTATTAATCCAATTAATTTTGATCAGCGGGGTTTTTACATTTGCATATCATTTGCGTGTGCGTGTGTGTAATTTATTGGTAGCTATCATTTGTACACGTCGTGTATCATGTTTAATTTGTCACTTGGCTGGCGTGTTCAGCGCGCACGTAACGACACCGTACATTACATTTTAATTGTCGACGCTAAAAAGACGTACGACGTCAACGCTCGTCGTTGGTATAAGGATCGAAAACTCGTGCGCCGTTTTGTACCCGGGTCACGCTTTCACATCGACGACATCCACCAGATTTGCCCGGTGTTTCCGGGCAAGATGTGCACGGAACAAATCTAAACTAGTGCCGGTTTTTTTAATCTTTTGTGGTGGAAAGTAATGAGGCAAATAAATATTACTCACCAAAAATAACATTTGTATTTGCATATATAGCTAGAGTTAGAAAATGCTTAGTAAAGCACATTTCGTTGGATTGTGCACACAACAAACGCGTCTCGATACATCAAACCCTCCGAAATGCATGCGAATCTCACGGTCGATTGACTCGGAGCGAAATCGCACAATTCGACGATTTCGAGTTGAAACACACGCCGAACCGATATTTGCAAATCCGACGGGTGTGCTTCTAGGCGAGTGGCTAAAACTGACTCGTGCGTTTGATACGAATGCAAACAAAATAACTAATATTTTATCTAAAATAATTTTAATTGCACACGCACATTTAATCTGGCATCATTGACGTCATGTTATAGATCAACAAAGGAAACGCGTTATGTGTGTTTGCAAACTCGGTAGTCGCATGTAACACATATAACCAAATTTAGCTCTATTGATTTTCCAGTTTGAATGCTTGCAAGTCGTTGAAAATGACACGTATTAATATATTACGATGTCCCTTTGATGCATCATAACGATCCGGTTTGGTGGAAAATGAACGGTATTAGTATTAGTTATTTGAGGGAAGCTTAAGGCAAATCAATTCAATTGAATCTATTTAAGTACAATTAAAAATTTTGAAAATTTCGGAATTTTCATTCTCCTGATACTTCAAAAATAGTCATTTATGTCTACATCGGTTTATGGCCAGTTTTAATTAATTTAGTTGTCGTATAATCCGTTATTAGTCTCTTTTAATTTATAAAATAATTAATTTTCATCGTGTAGCTTCATGCGGAAATTAAAATTTATTCGAAATAATTAAATCGATATTCTCTGTCTGTTTCAGTGAGCGCCGTCAACTCGGTGAGCAGCCGTTCCAGCTACGTTATAGCGCAATTAATCATTTTTCATTTATTGAACTTGATTAGCAACTGAACAAAACATTCGAAATATAAATATATTTTTCATTGATATTTTCAATGTTACCCGCCTCTTCAACATCCACCTACACATATGACCCAAATTCTCTTTTTTCACACTAATGAACACGAAAATTTTTAAAAAGAAAATGAATCTAAATGTGCGTTATATGAAAACGTTCAATAAATCACGGCATGCAATCAATTTTTCACATTTTATATTATGTTTTGAAGTACGCGTAGGTTTTTATTTCAATTCATAAAATTGAATAACATATACATTCATGTTAAAATACCACTTGACTGGTATTTTGTTGTTAATAATAAATAATTGTATTTTATTTTCATTATAAATTAATAATACAATTTAAGTTAGAGATGTAATTAATTAAAACAACAACGCGAAAAACACGCGCATTCCTTTCCTAAATTTTAATTTTATGAAATTTCGTCGAATATTTTAATTTTATCCTTGTTTCAGTACTATTTAAAAATTGCATGTTTTGTAAAAAAAAACTGCAAGACACTATTAATAACATATAAATGTTAGAGATGTTTGTACAGAGTGTTACCAGTGTGTCTAAAACGTATAATAACATAAAGTAATTGGTAACATTGTGTATGATTTACAAAGAAGTAACAATGTTCAACGTTATTAACTATTAACTATTTATATTTTAAGAAATGTAAAAGTAAAGCACTACATGCGTAAATACTGATACAACAGAGTCAAGAGAATGAAGAACAATCCTTGAAGTATATATTATTATGTAAAAATAATATCTAGACAAAAGCGAGCTAAGAAAATTATGTAATGTAATATACAGAAAATGTTAACTGTGATAATAATAATAATTTATAATAATTATACTTATTAATTGATATATGTGAGTTTTATTTCTCCCTTGAAAGTAGTTCATACTTTTTATTACTGAATTTTTTTTGTAATAAAAAATTGAAATAAATTGGAGAATCTTCTACACTTAAGGTGAGTAGGTAAATACAACAGTTTTAAGAAAATATCAGGTCTTCAACTTGGTCTTCAGGTCTTCAAAAATGATAAAATTTAAGATTTTAAGCGTTTTTTGCACTTATTCGATCAAAATATCAGTTTTTAACTGTAGTTACTGTGTTAATTATTTAATTGCTAAATATTTCTTAATTTTTGAATGTGCACATTGTAAAAATTAAGAAACCAAAGCGTGCTTCCTGCTAACATTTTAAATTTAAAAAATTTGAGCAATTCTCTCCGCGTATTTTTCTATTCTCAAGGGTAGTAGGGGAAGGTAGCATAATTTGGACCAGCGCCTAAGTTGGACCACCACGATATCCGCGGACTGTTGAAGTTTATGCAAAAATTGACTGGCCCCTTGTTTTACTCGTATTTATAAACAATTAATGCAACTATTTGGGTTAAAACTTGCCGCGTGCTTTCGTCGTGACAACAACTTCGTGTATTATTGATTATCAAATCTATTATAACGACGTAAGTGCAAGAGCTGTCAAGCCGTTAAAACGTTAGTTTTACCGATTATTATTTTATCATCAGAAAGCTTCTTTATTTATCTATAATTTATAGTATTAATTTTGAGAGGTTATGTTATATTAAGATTGTCGTTGATCATTAAATAAAAATTCTTCAAGTTGCCGAAGTTGGGGGCTGTCCATTAATCACGTGATCTTTTTTTTTCATTTTTTGGACCCCCCCTCCCCCTTGGTGATACGTCGTGAGGTTTAAGATTACCCCCACCCCCCACCCCCATCATCACGTGTATTTTAATCCCAACAACAACACGCCGCTTTTCTCTTTAGAAATCGTGCGTTTGACGAAAAAATAAATACACGTGATATCTTACTCCACTCCCCCTCCCCCTGGTGATTTTTCGTGATTTTTAACAAACCCCCCCCTTCATGACTCACGTGATTAATGGACAATCCCTTGGACCGAAGACAGGCACCGGGGTTTTAACAGGGAAAACGTATATCATTTTTTCGACCTCCTAGAAAAGCTTGTGGACGAGCACAAATCTTCGAAATGATCCACTGTATAAAATGCCGCACTTTGGTTTATACAAAATGTGCTTGTGTTACTGCCAAAACTAAAATTGACTATTGTGTCAATTGCCGTTAAAAAAGCATGGTCCAATTTAGGAAACCGGTTTCTTAATTTGGACCAAAAACACAATTTTTTTAAAATGAAATTTGAGGGGTATAAATATAATTTTTACTTAAACCAAAAATATCATTTTGTTGGTAAGCCTTGTGAGTTACTTTTCCGCTACTTAATTTTTATTGACAGTTTATATGTGGCTCTATAAATCAAAAAATATAAAAATGGTCCAAATATGGCTACTTTCCCCTATCAATATTAGATCATAAGAGAGTTCCAAATAATAACTGTCAAAGAATGCTTTGCTATAAACTGAAGAAATAACGTGAATTTAAGGTCCTTGTAGCCCAAAACTAATAAAGTTGTACCCTGCAAGAAATAATGCAATTTTTCCCAATTATCCTCAGTAATTAATTAAAATAATTTTCAAATATTTATTAAAATATGTTCATAGCGTACCGTTTAGCATATAGTGCAACATATTAATTAAATTTGTAACTACTAAAATTATAACCTTGTTTAGCCATTATGCAGCCATAGGGCTCAACAAGGTGTTCCATGCTCGCACCAGCTCAACGAGTGTTTCATTACTTTTACGACAATTATTATCATAATGAAAAGCCCGTCTGCGTTTACATCCTAACGCCTAGCGCAAAACGCTTCTTTGCTCAACGACTCCGTTGACGTCGTCTTCAGCTCAGAACTCCACGAACTCACTCAGCTTTTTCCACGCGAACAACCCAAAGCGTCCCTCTATCCTGTGTGCAATCTCACATCACGGCATTCTTTGCTTGCATACGATGTTTTCTTTCTCTTCTCTTTGAGTAAAATGTGTTTGCGCTCGGTGCGCTTGCACTTTTGCACTTTTGCACCACTCGCAAATTGCTCGAGCGCAACTTGAGCGTTTAAAACGTCGCACTCAAAACGCGACCGTCGCAAACGGCAATTTGGTTCATTAACCAACTAATTATACTTTTAAATGGACTTTCAAACGCAGCCACTCCAACAACGCGCGCGGCATTCGAGTGTCACAATATCCGGCGCATGTTGTGCACATTACGCAATGTGCAACAGCGGCAGCTTAGTGTGTAAAATATTTGCGCAACTTATAATTGACTTTCGGCAATGTTTACGGGAATTTACGAGCGCGTCAATTAAAAACTATAATGTTATAATGTTATATTCACACTAAATTTCGCTAAAATCAAATTTTCACTCACATCTGAAATGAATTATGTTCTATAATTCGAGCAATTTTATGTGCGGTTGCCCAACCAGTATTAAACTTGTAAATTTAGGCAAAATGGTCAATATATTTCAATATAACACGCATACCTGATGTACAATAATCTACTTGCAAGCAGTTCTCATCCTACATGATGTCGGAAGCCGTCTGTTCATATCCATACATCGCCGCTGATACCGAGATGAAATTGTAGTCGTGACTACGACATCCCAGCAACACGGTCTCAACTGGTTGAGCGTTCCGCTTATCCGTGTTTACCACATCGGGATGTCCAAGCTGAGAGCCCCTCTAGATGCTGGGCTCAAGCGGCCGCTTCGGACATAATTCAGCATTACACTGTCTGTTTCAGCATGCTTTGCTCTGCGTGCAAATCGTGACTATAAATATTATCGTCTGCAAGTCCTCCGCACTTTGCTGAATTCGCTAACTTTTCGGCGTTACATTGACATGTAAACATTGTAATGCCAAGAGATTTACTAACAATGCATCAAAAACACACGTAATTCCATAATTCAGGTAAAATTTATAATGTCTTCTGTTTTTGTTTATGTTTTTTTTTTGTAGCAGATAACACACTGTATTCGTAATTCCGGTGTGTGATTCACACCGTGGTGTAGCATTTTGGTCGGCTCGACTCGAGAGGACAAAAAAAGCGACAGCTCAATGACAAATCGTCACGCGCGGATAAAATTGTCAGTCGGATTGAATGAAGAAAACGAAAATGATTGAAAACTTTGCGTCGAGCCTGCGCTAACGTCGCAAACGGCTCCAGTAAATGGGATTTATTCGCGTTATTTGCGTTAGATTTATGATCCGACCACACATGACTTGATATACGTTTAGTTCTTCGCAGAGATAAAAAATAAAATTTACAAATTTTCATAACGCTTGAAATTTAATCAAAAAAATACACAAATATTTTGACGGAGAAAAAATGGCAACGCTTTTTTCTCATTTGATAGTCGCTGAAAATGTGCGTCAAGCGTGATTAATCCGAAATCTAAAGCGTATCAACTGCGCTGCCTCAGGTGTGCAGCTTCCGGAAAATGCGTCCGATGTTTTCCATCATTGCTTCCTTGGCTACACTGCGTCCCAAGTAAAGCGAGTGAGAGACATGAACGTCCTGCAAACGTCATGACCTTTCGCCGGCTTTGGTATCTCGCCGGCTTTGAGCTCCCCTTCGCATTTTCTAAATGAACAGTTGAATTAACCGCGTAATCAAGTAAAATTATACCGTTTCGCATCGCAAACATTCTCACACCGAAAAAAACTCAATAAATTTCGCAGCAATTTAACTGTTAATTAACTAAATTTGCGTTTAATACGTTTATATCACTTTTGTAAACTTTCTTTAATCTTATAATACAAATTTTTTAAAGTAAATTTAAACTTTTGATACTTTTGAAATGTAAGCTGATCAAATCACCATTTAACACGTCGTGTGTCGGTAAATTTGGCAAAATCAAGCTGTGTCTGGTTGGTTGCAGTCATTTCTGGCGTTGTTGGGCGCCATGTTCGTTTTACTGTTAATACATCCCGAACGAACATGGCGGCGCGATGCGCGTCAGAAGCTCTTCGCCTGATTAATGAATACGCCGGCAGTGCGCCAGCAGCAGCACCCCGAACGAAACTCAATGCTCGCTGATAAGTTAACATTAACATCGGCTCTGCCAGCAAGCCAACCGCCCCGTCAGCGCCGGGGCAAAAACTGATGATTAGCGGCGCGCAGTAATTAGCAAAAAGCAAAAAGCGCTTTTCAAAACGTACGTGCGTACACTTAGCGCATAGATATTTGCAAACTCAGTTTTAGTTTCTCCACAAAACCTTCTTAAAACATCGAAAACCTAGCATAATATCCAATTAATATTGTTAACGTATTTTTACAATTTTTTTAGCCTGTTGTTGATCCAAACATTTCCAAAAATTTTGATGCTTTTGATAATATGCATGCGATTTGAATAACGTTCGAGGCAGGAAGCAGGACGAACAGGACTCGATGGTTTCGGTGGCGGCGAGACAAAAAAAATCGCCTCATTCGGCCGGCTGTTTTACTTTGATTTGCATATACAGTGGCCCCGTGTGCGCGCGGGTATAAACGCAAATAAACCGCCCAGTTTTCGTCCACACAGCCGCGACGCGCCCTGGGGGAACCTCTTGATGCTGAAACTCTCTGTGATGTTGCTGCCACCAGGCGCGCCCATATACACAAATGTACCGGGGTCCAATAAACGTTATACCATCGCCACACAATTGCCGAATACACTGATACACTTTCAATATACACATACAATGCGTTCACACATTATATCACCAAAATAATTATTTTAAACAAAAAATATTCACAAAATTTAATTAAAAATAGTTATACATCGATTTGCGTATTTTGGAAGGTTGTTTTTTGATAACGCACTGTATGTGATGCTCACGCATAGAAATCTGTTGGTGGTGTTAATGAAATTGCAAATCTGGTGTGTCGAAATTGACCATACTGGCATAAGGTCCATATGGCCATACCAACGCAACGTATC